TCATTAAGATCAAGAGATGAGTGAGTGGGAGGAGGGAGGGCATCAGGAGAGCGGGAAGCAGAGTATGGTGAAGTATTTGGTATTCCCATATGAAAACAGAGCGGTGAAATTGTTCTAAGAAGGGGGCAGAGGGGAGTAAAGAAGATGGAGGGGTGAGTCTAATTAAGCACATATGTAAATGTCACAATGTATCTCCCTGGACGACCACCATAAGCAATAAGAAAGGGAGCAGGGAGACCAAAAACAAGGTCCTGCATTCCCACTATAGAAACCATGCCTGAGGCAAAGTACACTAAAGGGCGTCCTCCCCCTTCCACAGGGCGGCCACCAAAAGGGGACATCTTCAAACATCATCAAAACCTTTTTCCTCTGCAGCATCATTTATGTGGGTAGAATTCTAAGACTGAATTCGATTTTGGTGGGTTTTTTGGAAAATCATCTTTTCTAATACTCTAGGTCTTGTAAATATTTAATCTGAAGTTTTTAATACACATGATAGGACTAATCCAATTTTAGAAAACTCAAGTAATTGAAGACAATATTTAAAGCTTTTTCTCTTTTGATGGTGCTGGGGTTTGGACTCAGGGCCCCAAGCTTGCAAAGCAGGGGCTCTACCACTTGAGCTACATCCCCAGCCCATGGTGACAATATTTAGGTCCATGAAAGTGTTTGCTGTTGTGCTCCACAAAGTACCACACCCTTAGGGAAGCGTGTGTGAAAAATGTGGGGTTTTTTTCTTTAAAATTTATATATTTTTTGTTTTTGTTTTTGTTTTGAGACAGAGTCTCCCTGTATAGCCCGGGCTGGCCTCAAACTCATGATTCTCCTGCCTTAGGCTGGGATTACACACGTATGCCACCATACACTGCTCAAATTTATTTCAATTGATAATTTGTAGGGCTGGAGACATGGCTCAAGCAATAGAGCGCCTGAGTTCAAACCCCAGTACCAAAAAAAAAAAGCAGCACTGAGAACTTTTAACATCAAGGCCACGCCATGGAACACAGCCTCAGGGTGTCCACAGTAGTGTCTTCTCCCCTCTGAGCTAAGGTGCTCAGTGCTTGCTAAGGGATCCGGGGACTGCAAGGGCAGAGGTCAGTGCCTGGCCCTACAAAGCCGGCGCTGGCCCTGGAGAGGTGAACCCTCAATGAACTCCCAGTGAACCCCAGGTTCTTGGCCTGAAGATTCTACCATAAAGCAGCCTGGCTTGTGACTTGCGGATGTGCTTTGGGGAATCAGGGTACTGTCTTTGTGGGAGACCAGAGTCCACTGTCACCTTTTTCTTCTTTAAAGCCCCAAAGGCTGTGTTGCTACCTACACCTGGCTCAGAGCTCCCTCCAGCTCCCCTGCTTGCCCCATACTCCCTCCAGAAGCAAAACTGGGTCTCCTCTCCTTCCTCCTTCCCCCCCCACCCCCGCCTCGCTTCCCTCCCTCCTTCCTTCCTTCCAGTTTACTGAATTCACACTACAGAAGCAGACAGGGCTTTTGAAAAGCAATAAGAGGTGAAATTACAGACACTCACAAAAACTTCCAGTGTCCTCATGGTAGTCATTTCTATGTGGAGAGCACATTCACCAGACTCCTGGGTTGGAATCCTGGTTCCAGACCTACTGGTGGCCTGACTAGAGGGAAGTAATGTAAGCTTTCTGTGCCTCAGTTGTCCTGTCTGTGAAGTGGGGATGGGCAGAATCTTCACCTTATATGGCTGTGTGCACTGAGTTTACTTACAGAGCTTATGTAACATGTGTGAACACACGTGTAGTAAACACCATGGGCAACATCGTCAGTTCTCACTTTTAAAACCCTGGAAATGCCTGGTTCAGGGGACTTTTACTCCTGAGGAATCAGAGGGCAATGACCAGGAGTAGTTTAAGGCCATATTACTGCGATCTCGGAGGTACTCGTGAATATCTCTGCTGGCAACAGAAGGTCAAGTCCTGTCCTGACAGCATTTCTCATATTTTATCTAGGTCTTTTGCTCGCAAAATGAAAATAACCTAAGGGCAGTGAGCAGTGGATGTGTCTTCACTCTCAAATCGTACAACAGTGGCTGTCACCACCCCAGCAGCCATGGGGACTTTAGAGGGGCTCTAGGAACAGACACCAGCTTCCCCAAGTCAAAGGAGGCCTTACACTTACATTCAGTTGGCATTTACCCTGCAAGTGTCCCCTCATCCCTCGGCCAGTCGTTCTGGTTCGTAATGCAGGAGTCTGAGGGTTAGTTTATCATCTAGCGATTTGATGAAAAGTGTCATGGACACGAGCTGCTGCGCTCGGTTCCTGAACTGAGCAGAGCTCCTAATCTCTTTCCTGCCTTCCTCCTTTTTCTCTGAATAAAATATTTCATTGTAGATGCTTGGAAGTAGCTTTGAGGATGCCCTTTGAGAACTGCTTGACATTTGAATATGAATTACAGAGTTGGTGGTTCCTGAAAGTCTCTGGGCTCCACAAACACGTTAACATGCGTTTTGCAAACAGCCTCTGTTAGCTGTGATTGGGGACACCTTACCAGGCTGGCCAGAAGCTGATTACTACAGCCCTTTTGGGAAGACACAGTGATGGGAGGTCCTGTGACACTGGTGTGGGATGCTGTTCTCTGAAGTGGATGTGGAAGAGAACAGTTCCGGTCACAAGGGACCAGTTCTTTGGGGGCTGGCACTGGGCTTGCTCTCCAGCATCGACAGGAATGATGCTCTTGGAAACTTCCCAGTGGATCTGCCCCTTCTCCTGAATCTTTCTCATCAGGTACTTAAGTGTTAACCTGGAGTCAAACATTATCTAGACAGTTATCCTGCTTGTTCTGAGCTAAGTTGTTTTGCTGGGAACAGGTAAAACAATGTCCCGTGTGTTTTCCATTAAGGGGTATACAAAAGGACTTTTTGTTTCCATGAATGGAAGTAAAAATAAATCCACCAGGAACCTGCACAGAATTTTGCTGCTAGCAGAGTGTGCTAACCTAGCCTGGGTTTTTAAACTGTTTCTAACTTGAACTTTACTTTGTGCATTTGAACTGTGATCAGGCTTAACAGTGACAAGGAGGGTTCATAACTATGGCCTGAGTGAAGCTATGATAATGTTTTCAGGACAGACACATATATCACGTCCCTGGAGGGGAAAAAAAAAAAAAGTCTCCCTTGGTTACAGGCATGGCTGTTTTATTTGGCCATGATGGGAAGGTGTGGCGCTCAGGGAGGTGAAGCAGGGAATGACTTGATTTTGATTTCTGTTCACTCTAGCAGATGTAGAAATGATGAACTGTGGAATGAGGTGGGCTGTAAAAGGAAATGGGGTGGGGAACAGTTCCAATCATGCAGTAGCCAGGCAAGAGGAGATGAGGCCACGAACTGGTCAGGGATGGTGACTGGTCCACAGGATTTGCCAACAGGATGTGGTCATAGACAGGGGTACAATGCCAAGCTTGAGCCCCTGGTTTCTTGCTGGAATGGGCACACTTTTTTTTTTTTTGGTAGTGGTACTGGGGTTTGAAGTCAGGGCTTCCTGCTTACTAGGCAGGTGCTCTACCACTTAAGCCATGCCTCCAACCCTGAAAAGGGAACTCTTCATCAAGGTGGGTAATGTGAAATCCTGAGTTCAAATCCCAGTACCACCATTCCAGATGTCTGAAGTACATGGGACTCCTGTTTGATGGGAAGGTGGCACACATGTCCAGACAGCAGAAGAGGTGATCAGGGCTGAGAAATGACATCAGTTATCAGTGTAGAGATAGAATTGAAGCTAGAGGATGGACTAGCAATGGAAGGGTAAGGTATAAAGAAACACAACACTGAGGGCCACCACCGCTCAGCGAGTCAGGAAGAAAGGGGCCTACGAAGGAGACAAGAAAGAAAACCAGATAAGCAGACAAGAACCTAGAGAATGTTGTTTCAGAAGCCAAGAGAGGAGTGAGTTTGCATGTTCAATGCAGCAGGAAGGAAAATCTCCAGGGTTCTTCACTTCCACCTGCAGACACGAAGCCAACACTGAGTCCCCTCAGGCCAGAAGTGGCTTCCTGGAAGTCCTTGGAGTGTCACCTGCATGCCTGCCCTACGGATTTCTGGGGCTTGTCTGGGTAAGGTGCTTCTCCTCTGAGCACGGGAGTGAATTCTGCAGGCTGTGGGCTTAGATCCTCCCCACTTTGCTATTCACGGTCCTTCTCTGCTGGTGGTCATCCAAGCAATGTGCCAAAGCTTCACTGATGGCCCGTGACCCAGCAAAGGAGTGTGCTTCCTCACTTTGGGGTCCCAGTGTGTTAGAGGTGTGTTGTTTCTTGGAGGGTTCTCAAAGTTTGAGGGGTGTGCCTCAAAGCACGGGGGGAAGAGTCTAGAAACATCCACTACGCTGTGTTTGAAATCTTACTTCTTTCCAGTAGTAAATCTGTCTTGATTTCGGAATGGTTTGTTCTGCCTGGCTCCTTTGTTCAGAATGTGCTCCCTCTGGAGGTCCTGCAGGGGTGACTTCCACGGCCTGGACATGCCCAGAGCCACCGAGCAGCAGCCTTGGCCTGGATTCTACCTCACAAGCCTCTCGGGCCCACGGGAGCCTTCTCTGTGGTGCTGTTTTGTGAGGAGTGGACACCAGAGGCGCAGGAAGCAAGTCCAGCCCTCTTGTACACAGGGTGTGTGGCTGGGTGTGGCTTTTCACCACAGACCCCAACAGGAAGTGAATAGCTTGAGACAGAAGAGAGACAACTTCTTTCTTTTCTTTTTGCCTTTTTGGAAATTCATACTTTCTTTTTTTATTTTATTCATTTACTCACATGTGCATACATTGTTTGGGCCATTTTCTCCCCCCTCCACCCCACCCCTCCCTCTCCCCACCCCTCCCTCTCCTCACCCACCCACCAGACAACTCTTTCAAGAGGAGTGTGAAGGGGAAGAAAAGGATGAGACAACCCCTCCCCCACCCCTTTCAACATATTTTTGAAGATTAAAGATTTTTCTTCATTAAGGAACTGTGATTGGCAGGCAACTACTATCACAACTTAACTTGTCATCAGTCTATACCCTCTGCATCTAGTGATCCACTTGATCCATTTATGCTACACATCCAGGCCAATCAAACACACAACCCTACTCTCTACAGTCCTGTCTCTCCTTGTCTATGGCTCTCCCCAGTCCTTGGGCTCCGTGAAGTGGGACCCTGATACATTTCCAGCATCCAGGACACATTTAGAAACCACCAGGAGCTCAAATGATTGAAGACTGACCAACAGAACACGTGAGTCACCAATGGTGCAGGAACCGACACAAATGCACCAAAGAGGAATAGCAGTTGGCATCAATCTTTAATTTTGTAGCACCCATTATTACAGTTAAACACAGTCTTTCCTTATTTATATGAAAAACACAATCGTACAGGCTATCAAAACGTAGGAAGCTTGAGTACAGCACAAAGATATTTAGACAGAGCATCACAGGGTCAGTCTAACAGTAGCAAAGTATCACCTTCATTGGCTAAAATGTCACCATAAGCTTCCAAGGATGTGCTGCAGAGGACAGTGGCTGTCACTTAAGACAGAAGTGTTGAAAAGCTGCCCAATTATACTTCCAAGAGGGTCGATCAACTCCATCATTTCAAGTTGCACGGTCCATTCCTTTGATCTCTGATTCACCTGGAGCTGACTCCCCGGGGCGTGCCTCAACACATGGCTCCCAGACCCGTGCCCCTCTGCAGCCGTGGGAAGGAAGAGAACAGGCCATGCTTTGCCATGGTCTTTCCATGTAGGAGGCAGGCACCCTTGGGTACCATGTCCACCAGCCCTGGGGCTCCAGTAGGCTCAGCCCATGGCCCAGAGTGGCCAGAGCGGTGGCCATGAGCCTCTAATCACAACAGAGGCGAGACTCACCTCACCACTCACCACCCTGTGCACAGGGTTCCAGGGGCGGAGTCTGAAGGTCCTGGTAGATGCCAGGGAATCAATGGGGCAAATGTGGCTTGGCACTGCGTGGACAGGGGCACATCCGGGAATGTCAATTACAAAGAAAAGAACGGCTTGACATTATTTGGCCCAAGGCATCATTCGTGATGAAGTTCAAGCCAACAAATTGCTTCTGCACTTGTATGTAAAAAAAAGGAAGCACTGGAAACAGTGGCACACAGGAAAGGCCGTCAGCACACGCGGGAAAAGCGGTTTGAGGGATAAGAGAGTGACTCTAAAGCAACGCCGTGAACCCAAACGGGAGAAAAATTCTAAAACAGGAGGGCAGAGGCGAAAAGAACCCGAGGACAGGGAAGAGGGGCCGCTCAAAAGGAAATGAGAACGGTGTGTGCACACAGAGAAGAGGCCTGGGAAGGCATGGCCTTGGCTCACGTGGGCGTGTGAAACCACCTTGACCTGGGCCTTCTAGCCTCTCCAACCATGAGAAAGTAGATTTCTGTTCTTTACACCAAAACACTAAAAGGACAGGACTAGAAGAGGAAATCTGCTGGGCCTTAGTTACTAATCTTGCTGGTCAACGCACAGCTCACAGAAGAGGGTTCAGCGTTTGCTGTAACTAGGCCTCATCAGTCCCTTGAACATTTGGCATCACAGCCGCTGCCGGTCACACTTCCTGCTTGGTCACACTTCCTCGGGTGCTAAATTGAAAGGGAAGAGGGGAAGAGACGGAATGTCCACAAACAGCTCATCCTAAATCCACACGGAGAAGTCACCTGAGAGCTCACAGCTGAATCCCAGAGCTGGCTCTTCTGAGCTGAGTGGCGGGCAGTGCTGGACACAGCGCATCTCAGCTTTGCTGCCCTCATTCTGCCCGCCTGTGCCAAGTGTGAAGCAACCGCACACTTCTCTCTTAGCCGGGCTCGTGGAAGGGTCCCAACTTACAACCCCGCACAGCAAAGGCGGGGCCCAGCCTGCATCAGAAAGGATGTGGTGAAGGCTGTACCCTCCAGCAAGGGGCAGCACCACGCACGATGACCATTCAGGAAGAGCGGGGAGCTGCGTGATCCATCACCACACACTTCTTGCATAAGTTTTTTTAGTGCCACAAAAATAGGTGACTCCTTCCTACAGCTTATCTGAAATAGTAGCACAATATGAACCCGAATGATTTAAAATCTTACCATTTTAAATACCACGTCTTAGTTTTGTCTTCTTTCTCCCTTCTGTTTGTGCGTGCCTGTGTGTGTGTGTGTCTGTCTGTCTGTCTAAGGTATGTGTGTCTTTGCTTGCCCTTTCTTTCTGTGTGGTTCTTGGCTACTGCAACCAAGGTAGATGCATATTGGCTAGACCTCATTGTCTCCTGGATCCTAACTACAGAAATGTCATCATTCCAACAGCAACAGCACCTCATCCCAAGCAGCTGGGTTTACAGCAGGGTCAACTGAACATGGATGCACAGGACAGAGTGGTGACCAAAGCTCGAACGTATTGATAATGACTTAGCTTTTAGTAATTATTCAATCAGTTAGTGAGAAAGTAACTTCCTTTCCTGTCTTGCTCTTGTAGAGTACCAGCATTTTAGTGCTGACACAGTACCTATTTACTACGAATTAATGTTAAACTGTTGGTTAGTCCACAATTGACTTACACTTGTATTTTCAGTTCACAATTACTGTTTTGTCTGTCAGTATGCAACACAGATCAAAGTCAGCCTACATTTAGCCAAAATCAGTCCAAATGAAGTTTAATTTAAAAAAATCCTTCAGTTACTTTTCTCTCTGCTAAAGTCATGCTCCTGAAAATTAAAAAAAAAAACAACTCACAAAATAAATGCTAATCAATGCAGAAACCAATGTGTGTGATAATGGTAGTCATATTGAAACAGGATATTTATATCAATTTCCCTATTAAAAACATCACTTTCACTCTGGTACTTCCCTATGCAATTATAATAGGAATTTTTAAAAAAGCTATAAAGATGTGAAAAGTCTTCGTAGCCATGGCAATGATGAGATGGTGATAAATCCATGGGCAGAAATGATTAGTGACCAGGACTCTGGCAGTAACGACACCAGATGGAGACAGGAGGGGGTGTTGTACTGTGGCGACATTTGTCTATTGTTCCTGAATTAAACACAAAGGGGCATCCTCGACTTTGTCTGTTTCTGGCTTACCTCAGTGCTATGCTTTGGTTCACTTTTTTTTTTTAGGTTTTGCGATAGGATCTTGCTATGTAGCTTAGGCCTTGAACTCAGGATCCCCCTACCTCTGCCTGCTGAATGCTCGGATCACAGGTGTATAGCACCCATCTGGCACCCATCTGGCTTGTTTGACTTATTTTTCTTTTTTCATTCTTTTTTTTTTTTTTCAGTACTGGGGTTTGAACTCAGGGCCTTGTGCTTGCCAGGCAGGTGCTCTACCACTTGAGCCACCCCCCAGTCCCTTGCTTGACATTTTTGATCCAACTTAAGAAAGGTTAAGTTCAGCCTGGTGCTGGTGGCTCACACCTGTAATCCTAGCTATTTGGGAGCTGAGATCGGGAGGATTATAGCTGACGGCCAGCCAGGGTAAGTAGTTCTTGAGATCCCCTCTCCAAAATAACCAGAGCAAAATGGACTGGAGGTGTGACCCCAACAGTAGAGCACCTGCTTTGCAAGCACAAAGCCCTGAGTTCAAACTCCAGTCCCAAGTTCAATTTACAATCAGTTTGATACTGGAAGTTTAAGGTTGGAGTACTGGAACATCCCCACAGAAGCAGTGGTCATGGGGACCCATTTCCCCAGGTCAGCCACGAACACTTGTACTTCTGAAGTTGACGACCCACAGCACTTGAATCTGATAAAGCCATTATTGTATAACTGTGAACTGTGAGGTTTCATGGGAAATTCTTTATCACATTTTCCAGATTTAAAGCTTTTAAGTGTTTGTTTGTTTGTTTTCTGCTGTGGCCCCTTGGAGGGAGTTGAAAACCACCTCCTCAGTTGCTGTTCCAAGCCACCAAGTGTGGCCCTGTGACTCTGAGTAGAACAGGGGACCAGGATGGGGCCCAGGAATGCGGCAGGGGCAGGGGCTAGTGGTCCCTCCTTAGGCTGTCCTTCATCCTGCTGCACTACTGCCCTTTGTCAGGCCCAGGTGAGGGGTCTCTGGAAATAAGCGTCCCCTCAACAGGCTCCCCTCCCCAGGAATGATGGGGGGGGGTCGTGTCCCACCTGATCTTCCTTCTTTTCTGTTTGAGGGAGAGGCAGCCCAGAGGTGGGAGGAGGGAGGAGCAGGCTGGAGAAAGGGGACTGAGAAGGGTTTCCCTCACCCACCCCCACTCTGCCTCTGCCTGATCGCAGGCTGTGCTGGCCAGGATTGGGCTGAGGTGACAAGTCTGCCTGGGTGAGATGGTGGGAGGAAGGGGCTTTCTGGAGCCTCCCAGTCCACCACTCCTTCCTTCTGGGGATGGTGGGTACAGGAGTGTGACATGGATGCTCAGGCAGGGACCACCAACACCCAGTCACCTCAGCTTCTCCAGCTCCAATTCCTTCAGCTGTCAAAAGCCAAGGCCAAAAGCCCTTTCTCATTTGCCACGGAGACTCCTGGCCTAAGAAATGAGATGGTGTCACCAGCAGCCTGATGAAAGTGCAGTGCAATGGAAGGCTGGGACCTGGGACGGTTCTGTCAGAGCCTGGATCGGGCGACAAGATGCACTTAACCACTGCCTCACTGAACACTAGGTAACAGAGTCTACTTTTAAAATGTCTACGTTTTCTTACTGTTACTTCAAATACTTCCAGTATCTGATAATCTGATAATCTGACCGGGGAAGCTAAGCAGGGGTGATCAACACGAATCAGAAGCCATGAGTAAGTTGCCCTTTTGTAGGTTTTGCTACTTAGCGTTTACATTTGCTGGGGAAACTGACTTTATTTATTAGCAACCTGATGATAACCTGACAACCACTGTCCTTGCTAGTGGGGGGAGGAGAATGCTGGCTTAGAAAGTACACTTTTAATTTTTTTTTTTTTTCTTCAGTTCTGGGGCTTGAACTCAGGGCCTCCACCTTGAGCAACTCCACCAGCCCTTTTTTTGTGTTGAGTTTTCTTGAGATAGGGTCTTGAGTAACTGTTTGCCTGGGCTGGCTTTGAACTGCGATCCTCCTGATCTCTGCCTCCTGAGTAGCTAGGATATAGGTGTGAACTGTACTGGAGATTGAAGCCAGGGCTTTGTACACTCTAGACAGGTGCTCTACACCTGACCATGCCCCCAGCTTTGTCTGTATTTTGTTTTTGAAATGGGGTCTCCATACCCCCAGTGCTGAGAATTACAGGCCTCACCACCACACCTGGCTTGAGTTCTTCTGAATTAATTCTGATCTCTCTGTTAGGGTTATTCATCCTTATTGATTATTTTAATCAGAGACTAAAACTGCACAAAGCCATAACTTCCTAAACTCAGGGCCAAAACCAAATAGAACTGACAACCAAACCAAGGCTCTGCCTTTTGTCTCTCTTTTCTTCCCTACCCACCAAGAGCCTAGAAAAACCTGACCTCTCTAATTACAAACCCTGAGGTCCCCACACTTTCCTGTTTCCAAAATTATCAAGTAAGAATTTTAGTCATTCTTTGAACCAAGGTTTGGTTTGGTTTAAAATCCTTTTCTGATTTTTTTTTTTTTTTTTATGGTACTGGGGTTTGAACTCAGGGCTTCATGCAGGATCAACACAAAGGCCCCTTCTCAGCCATCCTGCCCTATGGTGTCATTGGATGCTGGTTTTGGCTCTGATATTAGGTACTGAAGGTGGTTACGTTTTACCGATGGACGAGGTGATATTTCTTTATTGATTAACGGAGTTTTATCTCAAGAATGAGGCAGTCAACCTTACCTAAGAAGTAAATATTAATTAAAAAAAAAATCCTGGATGACAAAAGGACATGTTGAGTACTAGTCTTTGTCAAAGGCTATTCTCATGATGCTTAGTCACTCTTTCTGACATCCCAAGCAATCATCAATTACATTGTTGGTAGTCCACAGATTATAAAAGTATTTGAATAAGAAAGATAGCTCCTGTGTTCTATGGCAAATGGCCACACCATGTCAGCATATTGTTATGACTTAAGCACTTTATAACAAAGACAGTAACGAAGGAACAAATCAGGGTGACTTCTCATTGTCTTCCCATAAGCTGGAAATGCCCTGATCACAAAGGATCCTAGGTATGATGACGTCTCTGAGTCTAGTGTCCTCGACGGTGTGAGGTCTCGTGGAACTCTTTAGCAGTAGTTAGAGAGAGGATCGTTTTATTTTTATCATGGCATGAACGTCCCTAGGTGAGCCTACAAAATATTCATTTCCAATTCCAGATTCAAATATTAAATTAAAATATTGTGCAAAAACAAACAAACAAATACCTGCCACCAAAACAGGACCCACCCCTCCACAAACCACCAGCTTTGGGGGAAAACCAGTGCCCACCATTGCATGTGCTCATCCTAGCTTCTAGGAACAAGTCCACATGCCTCCGTGGCCCCTGGTCATGGGACTGGCAGAGAGGCCCAGTGCAGGGAGAGGGGCTAGAAGGGCGTGGGGCGGTCTGCACGGCCCCGCCTGGGCCACTCCTCGTCCACCCACCTGCGAAGCACCTTCTCCACGTCGGCCCTGTGGTACAGCCTGCACAGCTCCATCAGCTGGCCCACTGTCCTCTGGCTGTTCCGGAGCAAGAACTCCAGGGTGGGGCTCTGCGGCCTCTGTTCCAGGAAGCACAGTTCGTCGTAGGGCATGCCCCATTTGCTGGCGAAATTCCTCCAGTTCTTCACCGTTGGGTGACATGGGTCCAGCTTTATTCTGATCACATCCAGTAAGTCCTGATCATTGAGCAAGTCACTGATGGTGGGGGCCCGGAGCGAGCAGGAAGGACAAGAGCAGTCTTCTTTACACGGCTGCTCCCTGCTGATACCTGCAGGAAGAAAGGGAGTCTCCAAGTTGACAAGGGGCCTGGCGACCTGTTCATTCTTCTGTCCCTTGTTGTCCTGCTGAACTGCAGATCACATCAGTGTAAACATAACAACACAGGCTTCCTTTGAGGGAAGCAGCTCAGAGCACTCATTTCTCAGACTCACACAATCTTATTCTTCATAGCCAAAGGTGGCTGTTTTGCTGGAAGCAGGAGCAAGGCTGGATCAAGCCAGTCTCCCGTGCTCTCCCAGGCTCCCTGCATCCCCCAACGCCATGTGGCCAGAATGAGGGCTCTGGGGACCAGACTAGTCCAGTGGGACCAGACTCCATCCAGCCCTCAAGGAACCAGCCACACTCAGCACCTCAACTCTGTCCCCCAACAGTTTTTTAACACCAAACATGATGTTTTAGGGTATTAAGAGTTGCACAATTCCTTAAAAGTTCTTCTAAGAAAGTTCAAACTGGAATATCCACTCTAGACGCATATTTGTAAACAAGTGACAACTGACAGTGTAAGAAAACTTTCTAAATTTCTGGCCACCTTATCATCCCTACACCTTTATCTGTGCTCTCTTCCCCCAGATGGCTCTCTCTGAAGTTGAGCCAACAGCCCGGGGCTGTGCAGGAAGCTGGAGCAGGCGGAGGGCTGGCCCCTCCCTCTCCAGGCTTCTTAGGCTTATATTGCTTACCAGGAGGCTGCGAGTGGGAGGGTGAAGTTGGTGGGCAAGAAAGATGTTGGCAGGTCCTTTACAATAAAATGTTAAGTCTACACCGCAAACACCTACGCCTCAAACACCGCAGCGAAGCAGCTGTCTCCTGCATCAGTTTTAACAGTCAAAGGCTACTTTAGGGCAAAGCAGTCTTGGAAAATCCTGGGGGAGTGAAGAAGACGTCCTTTTACTATAAAGGTTGCTGTGGCTTCCCACTGTAGGACAGTAAGGAATTGGGACAGGTGGGGTCACCATGGTGATCGTACACTGAGAGCCAGCAATTCTGAGGCGGCAGGAATTAAAAGACAGCAAAAGGAGGCCGTGAAAACTGTGCTCAGGGAACCCAGCCCCAGGGAATCACCCCAAATGGGGACACACAGGTTCACTTTTATGACAGCATTGGCCATGCCATCAATTTCCAAAAAGACTTGAGTCTATGGTTGGGCACTGTGAAATAAACGACTATACTACCTGATGGGATATTATTTAACTAGGTATGAAGACTATGTGACCACCTAGAAAATGCTTGTAAGGTTAAGGGGAAAATGCAAGGTGCGATGGATGTGCACATCCCATGATTAAAGCTATGCAAAAACTCAAGTCACTATCACTATGGAAGTAGGTGTAAAAGATCACCACAGCCATTGAGTCCATCAGGAGGGTTATGTTTCTGTTTCCCACATTTTCTGTGACAATTAAAACAATGTATCAATAAATGTCCTGTAGTCCAGTGCCCGCCAGTGACTCACACCTGTAATCCCAGCTACGCAGGAGGCAGAGATCAGGAGAATCAAAGTTCAAAGTCAGCCTCAGGTAAATAGTTCACAAGACCCTGTCTCAAAACAACAAAACAAAACAACACAAGTGGCTCAAGTGGTAAAGCACCTGCCTAGCACGTGCAAGGTCCTGAGTTCAAGCCCTAGCTCTGAAAATAAAAAAAACAGGGCAGGTGGAGTGGCTCAAGTGGAGAGCGCCAGCCTAGCAAGCATGAGGCTCTGAGTTGAAACCCCAGTGCCACCAAAAAAAAACCAACCAACAAAAAAAATGTTTTGCTCAGCTCAGCATGAATTCTTTGTGTGGCAATCCTCTCTGCTGAGCTGAGCATTTCAATCCTACCTTATCTTCAACCACCCCTCTCTACTAATTCTCCCTCTTTTTTACTTGCAAATGTACCCAAGTGTCCTCTGTCCTTAAGCACTAGAACCTCAAAGCACCCTTCTCTGGTTTCATAGCTGAGGCCCCAGCCTGTCTCACAGCCAGGTCCTGGGGAGTTGCAGGAGACGCTCAGATCTGCTCCTAGCCCCGTACTTTCTCCTTCCACAGGCTCTCCATAGCTGGTCCCAACTGCTGCACAGCTGCCACAGTGTCTCCCACCACAGGAAGGCACCTGCAAGCCCTGGGTGCACAGCGATGATGTTCGCTGAATGAGTGCGTGAGTGAGTCACGAGTGATGATCAACCTGATCTCCTGGGCTCAGAACCGACCACTGAACGGTCCTCCTGATCAGGTCGGTCTCCAACTCAACACCACAGTACTTAAAAACTCCTCCCTCTCCCAGGCATCAAAACACCCAGGCTTCAGTTCCCTGGGTCCACGTGGGCTTGGTCACCATATCCTCAGTGTCAACTCCTAGCCTTCACTGCCTGCCACTCCACTTGTCTTTCTTTCCTGGCTTCCCGAACAGGACCTGAGCTCCAACGAAGCCAGATGGATCAGTTCCCTGGGGGAGTGGCTCAAGTGGTGCCTACCTAGCAAGCCTGAGGCTCTGAGGTCAAACCCCAGTTCCGCCAAAACAAAAATTCCCTGCTTTTAACTTTTTTTATAATTAAAAAAAAAACTAATGTGATCGCCATGTAGAAGATCTGGAATATATATAATTATGGATTTGGGGTGAACTTTTGAGCATTTAGGGTTTTTCCAAATTTTCACAATTCTAATGACGCAATGTGGACTGTTCCTATAATGTTCAACCGCATCTTTGATCACCTCACTGGTAATGGACGGCGGGGTAGGAAGCACAATCCTTCAAAGGCTGTTACTGCCTGTGTCTAAAATCGCTTTCCAGAAACAGTCTGACCAGAGCCCCTTATGGTTTGCATCTCACTTTGTCTTTCTCAGCACCAAGTAGTAGTTTAAAAAGTCTGCGTTCATTCCACAGGTGAAAAATGGTCTGCCGATACCTTCTTTTTGTGTTTTCTGTAACATCACTGACAAGTGGAGTGCACAGGACCTGCGAACAGGCATGGATTTAAAGCTGCCTTTTAAAATCACAAGCTGTGATTGGCTCTCGGGAGGACTTGACCGGGGAAACGAGTTTTTTTTTTTTTCCTATCAAATACATTTTCTTGCTATCCTAAACACCTCACTTGTAATATTACACACAAAAGGACCAACTAGGAGATGCCTCAGAAAAGGAAGAGACTCAAGACCGAAAGTGTCTTTGTCAGAAATGGGGAAAATCAGATTATGATTTCCTGGCTCTCACGTGCTAGGCACGGGGTAAAGGACAGTTACTGTAACCATGAGGAACTGGTCCCTCATCCCCTGGCCAATGCTTCCTAGAAATTCAAAATGTATTTGCTAAGCAAGGGATTGAAGGAGAGCCATGGTTAGCCTGGGGGAATACGGTAGATTTACTGTTATTATTATTACTATTGGTGGTACTGGGGTTTGAACTCAGGGTCTCACACTTGCTAGGCAGGTGCTCTACTGTTTGAACCACTCCACCATCCCCCTGCCCCCTTTTATAAATGGATTTTTTCGAGATAAAATCCTTTTATAAATTGATATTTTCGAGATAAGGGCTTGTGAACTATTTCCCTGGGCTGACTTCGAACATCAATTTTCCTGATCTCTGCCTCCTGGGTAGTTAGGATTACAGGTGTGAGCCACTGGCACCCAGCCTAAATTTATTTTTTTAAGTACATGAGAGAGAGGGGACCCTGCAAAGCCTCCTGGGTCACCTCTTCTACAACTCACACCACCCACGTCTATCTCCAAAGCACTAAACATGGTCCTCCTGCCTCAAGGCCTTTGTCCCTGAGGCTCCTTTCAGGGCAACCCCTCTCAGGACTCTTGGTGTCCCCCCTTTCTTTTTGCAGGACTGGGGTTTGAACTCAGTGCCTTGTGTTTTCTAGTCCAGCACTTTATCACTTGAGTCATGCCCCCAGCCCCAGGTGCCCCTTCTTAGCCTCTGTAGCACCTGCCCCTGCCGGACACAACCATCACCCCTGCTTAGCTTCCTCAAGGCCCCTAGCACCACGGTAACTATGGATTTGGTCTGTGTTCATTGTTAGTCTCGCTCAACCACAATATAACCCCCAAGAGAAAGGGACTTCAATGTCTGATATTCCCACTGTATACCAGGAATTCAGCAGGTACTCAATAAAGAGCTGCTGAGTAAGTCGAGTGGATGAAGAGTGACCTGATTCACGTTTAAGTTTCACCAGAAACTTCTGGGCAGCCCGTGCAGCACTGTGTAGAAATTAACAGGCACCTTTGGGGGGTGGGGCAGGGAGTACTGGGGTTTTGAACTCAGAGCCTTGAACTTACGAGGCAGGTGCTCCACCTCTAGCCTGACAGACACGTTTTTAGCACTGGGTCTCACAAAGATGACAGCTGCTCTGGAGAGAGGCTGGCCGTGTACAGGCAGATCACCAGCGTGAGCTGGTGCTGCGCAGGTGTGCAGCCAGGGCTACACCCAGTGTCACTCTCTGAATGGGGATAATGACACCCACCTCACAAACTGGTTCTGAGGATTAAGAAGGTAATGCATTAAAGCCACGCCCTTGAACATGGTAAGCACGTGACAATGGCTAGCGGTGGGTGAGGGATAAGAACCACCAGCCTTTGAAAGCAGTCGGTTCTCAGCTCTGGTCTCGGGATGGATCCCACCCCGCCCCCTTCTACAACCTGGGCGTAATCTGCAAAATCTTGGGGTCTCGTCCCGCCCACCAAGACACTTATTTAATTAGTCTGGGGTGCAGGCAGGGCATGGAGATTTGGAAAAGTTGCCCCAACACTTCTAATGTGCAGACGAGGTTGAAAACCGCAGTCTCGAGGGCACCTGCAGAAGAGCCCGCGTCAGGAGGGCTGCCAGGATTACTGTGCAGCCACTTCTTCTGGAATACCAGGTCTGCTGACCACGGGTGGCACAAGCCTCACTCCCTGCTCCAGGGGAGGCTGAGGCACAAGGATCGCTTGAGCTTGAATAACAGAGCGTAGGGGAAGAGGTCCCCTGGTCTGTAATGTGTCCGCACTCCCAAACACATGAATGGATTCCCTTCTTCCTTTAAAGACGTTATTTAAAACCATCCCAAGAAACAGGTAACCCCCAGTGGTACCAATATCTAACTCTTACTTTTGGGGCTGGCAGTTCTAAACACCAGTCAGTTAACAGGTAACTGTGAACTGGAACAAGAGTCAGGTCACAGAGGTCATGAGTAATTGAGTCTAGAAATGGCTCCAGTCCGGATGCTGGCTCCTGGGTCTCCCTGCAGGGGAGGCACCCTCTTAACTTGCTTCTCCAGCGCTGTTACCACACCCTTACTGCCCAGCCCTGAGCTCCAGGGCCCTGGTAGCTCTCAGATCGCTTGTAATGATGCATCCCCCAGGACAACGAGGCCTTGAATTAATTAAAACAATTAAATGGTAATTATTTTATGGTGGTGACTTTAGACAGAGGAAAGCACTGTGCTTCTGAAATAGAATGACAGTTTCTCAGGGGTCTGTGTTATCAGATTTGGAGCCACAAGACCAGCAGCAAGTGGCAGAGTGGTGTCACACGTTTCTGCAGTTATGCTGGTGAAGTGGCAAATTCACGTCTTTTTCTGTGTGTGGCTCCCACGGTGGCTGGAAGTAAGCATATTTAAAATGCCACAAGTCACTGGATTGGGGCTGCACATGCCACATTGTTTATCAGAGAGAGTGCTGTTGTGAGCTGGAAAGTGATGAATTCTTCTTGTCTACTGAGAAACCGACACAAGGGCTTCTGCAGGTATTTGACGTCTTAACCAAAGGGAAAACAATGCGACTGCAGAGACACCTCAGGCTGCAGCAACACCGGGTTGTCTCATGAACAATGTGGGTGAATCTGGGCAGATAAATTACGCTGGACCTCAATTTTGTCATCAAACAAAATCAGAGTGTAGAAGCCACAACAAAGGGTGGGAATAAACCCTTTTTCTTTTTCTTTCTTTTTTCTTTTTTGCAGTACTGGGGCTTGAACTCAGGACCTTCACCTTGAGCCACTCCATCAGCCCTTTTTTGTGATGGTTTTTTTTTTTTTCCAAGATAGGGTCTTTCAAATAATTTGCAGGCTGGCTTCAAACCTCGATCCTCCTGATCTCTGCCTATGAAGTAGCAGGGATTATAGGCGTGAGCCACCAGTGACCGGCGAGAAATAAACTCTTACACATGAAAGGTTAAAAAATTAGCAAGGAATTCTACATGAATATGACTCAGGTTGTTGGGTGATACAAAATTAACCAAGTGTCACTCAGGAACCTAATTCAAAGAAATCAAACACTTTAAATTCATTATTTTTTGTTTGTTTTTGGGAAGTCCTGGGGATCAAACTCACATTTCTTTATTCATGTTACTCTGGCTAGCAGGTCATATTGGTGTGGGGGTTGCTAGTCCTTAAAAAGTGTAAACACAGATTCCATAATGAGAAAAGAAACACCTGGGCTGGGGCTATAGCTCAGTGGAAAAGCACTTGCCTAGCATGGGCAAGGTCCTGGGTCTGATCCCCAGCACTGCAAAAAAAGGGGTGAGGAGGGTTTATAAACTTGAATGCTTCTTGGCTAAACGCTAAAAATAGAAAAGGAGTGGAAATTACACATGACAGAGTGGCAGGAGGTCCCCTTGGCTTCCTTAAGTGCTGGGAGCCATCCCCCAGTGACCCTTCCACGCTGACCTGAGCTGCCTAAAACCTGGGCAGCGGCTCTCTGAGAACCCACAGGGAGAAAGGAGGGTCTGCTGAGTCCTGAATGAGGCCAGTCCTACACCTGCAGTTCAGACCCTGGTGTGTCCTTATGAGACGCACCGTTCCCTACATGGCCTCTAGTGCAGGAAGTTGCTCTGTTCCACACGTGGACTTCCCAAGTTCATAATAGGCTTTTCCCTTCCCAGTCGTCCCTCTTCCTGTTCAACTGGGGTCCTGAAGCAGGACAAAGGAGGATGGCAAGAAGACGGGGGGGTCTGACCCAAGAACTGGTCACCAACGTTCAGAAGGGCATCCATGGAGGCAGCTGCAAGACACCTCAGTCCTCAAAGAAATCAGGAAACGAGCCACAAAGGAGATGGGGACTGTGATGTGCGTGTTGGAGCCAGGCTCCGCAGAGCGATCTGGGGCAAAGGAATAAGGAATGTCCCACATCACGTCCCTGTGCGGTCAGCAACGTGGATGAGGAGTCTCCAGACGAGCTCTATCTTCTGGATATCTCGTGCCTGTTACTGCTTTTAAAAAGCCTCAATCAGCCAGGCACAGTGGCTCACGCCTGGAATCCTAGCTACTTGAGAAGCTGAGATTGGAAGGATAGTAGTTTGAGGCCAGCCCAGACAAATACTTCTCGAGATCCCATCTCCAAAAATAACCAGGATGAAATGGACTGGAGGTGTGGTTCAAGTAGTAGAGTGCTTGCCATGAGTTCAAACCCCAGTCCCACAAAAATACCAAACCAAAATAAAAAGCCTCTCTCAACTGCTGATTTTCAAATAAAGGGTTAAGGAAAAACACATTCTCAAATTAACTTTGGCCATCTCTCTTATCATCGCAAACCACACCCCCCAAAATCCTTAAAGTGGATCATTTACCTGAAAGTGGGTCTCCAGTACTGTCTGGAAAACTGTTTTCTTCTTCCTAAAAACCAAAAAATGACCTTCATTACAGTCATCCCCATATGTGTGAGGCGATACCATCAATTTGCGTCTTTAGTTAAATTTCCAGAAGTAGGGGCAGATCCTAGGAACGGTACCTTAGTGGGGGTGAGCCCTTCAGCTCTCGAGGGTGTGAAGGTTGCAGAGAGAGCTATCTTCACACTCCCCCCTCCCCGTGCTCCCTGAGCCCCAGTGCCCAGAGCACAGCCTGCCGCAGGGGGACAATCGTAACATCTGTGAAATGCAGGAGAATCCTTTTATTTCACAATGTAGCCATGCACAGGACAACCCTGTGCTATTATCTTATTTTCCCTGTTTTATTTCCCATCTGCTTTTGGTTGGGCTTGTCAGTCTAGGCTATAATTCTGTCCCTTAATCTATTATATTGATTTATTTATGTGTATATAGATATAGCAAAGCAGCTGAGAGAAATTGTGAAAAAAAAGCAATGTCCAAATCCCTGGAGAGGAGATGGCCTCTGATCCATCCAACTAGGGTTCTAGTTTTACAACAGAGGCCATGCTGTGTGTGTGTGTGTGTGTGTGTGTGTGTGTGTGTGTGTGTGTGTATGTGTGTGTGTTCTCCGCAAAGCTGGCAGGGGAGACCTGTCCCAGCCTACCTCTGTTTCTATGAATTGTATTCTCAATACAACTAAAATCTCCCTTGCCACCAGCATCGCCCCTGGATCCCTGGGGCTGCAGGGCATCAAAGAAGTGGAGTCCAGGGCCCAGGATTCACCCTGCAGTCACAGCCACCAGTGCTGGCTTTGCTCCTAGTGCGTGCACAGAGGTGCTATTGGTTAGCACAGCCCTAAGGGCCCTCCAGTTCTCAGTTCTCAGTTCTCAGGGCTGTGAGATTCACCCTTAAAGAAATGCTAACTCGGGCAGGTGTGGGAGTATAAGCCTGTAATCCCAGCACTCAGGAGGCTGAGGCAGGAGGATGGGGGAGTTCAAAGCCAGCTCAGGCTTCACAAGACAGTCTTAAAAACAAGGAATCGACACATATTCCCCACGGCGCCCATGTGTCTCACACATTTCAAATAGTAGTTCTTTTCCCTTAATCATCTAAGCCCCAAGCTCACCGATCGATCGTAGGTCTCAGCAGTGTCCACACGTCTGTCTAATCACAAGTGTGACCTTTGTTTTCCCTCAGAAGCAATGCCAGGTCTAACTAGCCAGATTTTCCCCAAGGGACCTAAAGAATTCTTGCTTTGGTTTGAGGTCTCTTCCTTGCCACCCACTGTCTTTACTGGAACACCAACCAAGCCAGCCCCCACAATGCAGAGTTTCCGTCCATTTTCTAGAGATGTACTTTCTTCTCATTTCCCTCAGCTAGGGGCATGTGTGAGAAAGAAAACGAACAGAGAAAGAGAGAGAGAAGAGCTACAGGGAGCCTCAGAAGGGACAGGCACGTCTCTCCAGCACCTTTGCACATTTGCAATGTTATAACCCACAAGGCCCCCGAGTCGTGGCCACCGTTCCCAGATGCCAGGCCAGGTGGGGACCTGCCCTTGCACTTTTTCAGAGCTCTGGCAGGACTGGGCAGGTCTGCTTGCTTTTATCAACAGTCAATTCTGCTCACTGAATTAGAAACTTGGGCCATGGAAAGAGAACAGGAACTGCAGGTCACGTTGAGAGACATGAATGCCAGAACATGACAGATTTCATGGTATTTGTGGTCCCTGCTAAAACAAGGCATTTTCCTTAAGTAAAAACTATGTTACAAAACCAGGCACAGTGGCTCACACCTATAATCCCAGCACCTGGGAGGCTGAGGCAGGAGTTCAAGGGCAGCCTACATTACACAGTGAGACCCTTCTCTAAAACCCAGACCAATCCAAACAAAACAAAACTATGTCAACATGACATACTTGATTTGATTTCTCACAATTCAGAGAAAAATTTCTAAAGCCAATGTCTGGCCAGAATCATCCCTACAATGTGTAAAGGGAGTAGACTCACAATGACCTTGAAGATTGATTAAGACAGAGCTCAGATCAATGGCAGGATTTTTGTTCTTGCTCTGATTGTCAGGGCTGTCCCACCTTTCTGGTTAGCTTTCCAACAGTGAAATCAGGAAGACTTAGGCTTGTTGTGTTTGGATCTTGCTAAAACCACACTCACACCTTCCACCTGTTCACTGACCAATCACTATTCTGAAGCCCCATGCTAGAATCCATATACACAGGTAAGAGGACCTGAACCCTTGACTTCAAGGTCTGCCCTTGGTTATGCTGGAGAGAGAACAGCAAAGAGGCCAGGCTGAGGATGGTGAGCTCCAATACAGGGGGACAGGTGACACAGCTGAGGCTGGGATTTGTGCACTCATCTGGGAGGAGAGGCAAGAGCCACCACCAAGATGCAGTCACTAGGAACTTGTAGGGAGGGAGCAGGGCCTGAGGAGGTCACAGCAGGTCTGAGATGCCAGGGGACTGGGCTCCTGGGGGCAGGAGAAGAAAATGCAGAAGTTGATTACTGAGAAGAGATGGATGGTGGAGGGCAAGCTGTGTGGTCATGACCTTGAGGGCTCCTAAACCCCTCCACTGAGGTGGAAAGAATGAGGACAGCAGACAGGAGAGGGAATGCGGAAGCTGCCACAAGGCAGGGCGGCAGGAAGGTCACTCTCAGGACCAAGTGAAGCCAGGATTGGGTGAGAGGGTGGTGGGCGTGAGGCGGCGGAGGTGACTGGAAACCCACCAGGCCATGTCTACCAGCCATGCCATCCAGCCCCTTAATCAGTGGGCCTGCCCTTACCTGGGAGTCTGGGCTTACCCGTGGCTTCCCCTCGGGCCCTGGGGCTCCCACAATGTCCCATGGGTGTCACACCAAGCCTGCTGCGCTGGACTACAGACCATGGAAGGACTGTGTGTGCTGTGGGGGATCAGCTGGGGTCTGAGACACTTAACCCCACTTAACCACGGCTGTGTTTTCTAGACCAGGCTCGGGTGCTCCCTTTGCACCTCCCTCATCCTCCACCTGCGCTGTGGCCTCATCTCCTGTATCACCAGTTCCAGGGCCTCATTCCCACAAGTCCCCTCCCATCTCACCTGCATTCCTGTCCACTTGCCAAGCCACCTTCTTGCTAGTTATTTTTGTGGGTTTTTGTGTGTGTGCGTGTTGTTTGCTTGCTTTGAGACAGGGTCTCATATGTAGCTAAGGCTGGTCTTGAACTCAAAATCCTCTTGTCTCAGCCTCCCAAGTGCTGGGATTACAGGCGTGACCACAGTGCCTGGCCACATGCTAGTTTTTTCTGCCAGCTGTCTCTGACAACCCTTAGCTCTGCATGAACTCCACTCCGCCTGTCTTGCCCTAAACTGGAGTGTTGTAGGGAAAAGGAGGCTGTGAACCTCATGCAGTCACGGCATTTGCTCTCAGCTGAGACGCAGCTGCTCCTGGTCATTTTTGGGTTCCCTCTGACAGTCTTCCTTCAGGTCCTATGGGGTCCTGAGCTCCCATCCCCATTAGTGCTCCATACCCATTAAGCTGCAGGCTGCGAGGACTCCTCCCCCTACTCCAGCATCTCTGTGTTTGTCCCATCTTCACGTCTGCACTCCACTTCCACAGACTGTGGCCTTTCATCTTCCCTCGCTCCTTGAACTATGGTCCCTGCTGTCAACCCACGTCAGGCCTCCACTGAGAAGGGTGAGGACTGGGCTTTATTTGTCTTTCTGTCCCTAGCGCTGATACAGATGCTCTGTTCAGAGCAGGCAGTTAGCTGTCTCCAAATCACAGCTCAGGAGGTTCAGGTATGAAGGGACAGGGCCACAGCACAGGGAAGGGTTTGGAGTAGAACCTGATAGGCCAAGGGAGGACAATCAGAGGGGAGCCCAAGAAAGATGAGGCAGCAGCTGCACCTCCACTGAGGCCAGGTGACAACTGTGTGACAATCAGAGCTGTGTCCTGGCTGAGGCCAAGTGACACTGTGAGGCGCACAGCCTCTTCCTCACACATGCAGCATTTGGAGCAAGCCTGGCAGAGCAAGCCTGGCAGAGTGGCACTGATGCAGAGCTGACAATGACGGATGCTCTGTGGCGAGCTTCAGCACAAGACCTCTGCAGGACCGGCACTGGGGGAGTACTGTGCAGTGGGCAGGGGAGTGAGGCCCAGGCGCAGTGTGCAGAGACTGCAGCAAGCTCTGGCTTCCTTCCTTCCCCCCACAATATGACCTCCCCCTTCTCTCTCTCTCCTGTCATGATACCAACTGCCTTGAACCAGAGGCCAAACAAATAGGGCCACTTGATTTTGGATTTTCAGCTTTGGAAATTGTGAGCTCAGTAAACCTCTTTTCTTTATAAAGTATCCAGCCTCAGGCATTTACTCCAGCAATGGACAACAGAATGATGCCCTGTACATTTGGACAGTTTTCCTGCCTCCCTAAAGCATATGCTAGTTTTTCTCAACTCTGGCTGGAAAGATTATTTTATTTAGTTGGTGTGGTACTGGGTCCAGATGTAGATTTTTTTAAAAAAACTTTACAAATGTTAAAGTGTGTGATGTTGAGCACCAATGATTTATATCTTCAAATAGGCAAAATTAAATCCTAATGTTATTTTATTTGAACTCCAGCCCTTACGCTTGCTAGGCAGGTGCTCTACCGTTTGAGCCACACTCCCAGCCATATCCTCATTTTATAAAACCTTCTCATTGTGGATACAAGGGACATGCTTTAGATTTAGGCAAAATGTGTTAAGTGCTGCCAGGATTTCTTTCAAGGAGAGAAAGGTAGCTAAGTTACACAAGCCATGTCCTTTGGTTGGCTTATGAACTAATAGTCAAGTCCCTTTCTGCTCAGCAGCTAGGTTTGGGTGTTGCAAAACAGTCTGCTCCAAAGATTGACATGGAGATTTCACACCAGGCTCCAAGCCCAGGGCCCAGACAATGGCCTGGGTAAAGCTCTCAGCTCAGAGCTCATCAGAGGCCTTGTGGGGACAGGCTGACATGATGGGAGACCCTGACACTGAAGGGGACATCTGTATAGTAGGAT